GTTAGTCTTTTAGTAGTTGCACCACCACTTCCAACAGCAATTACACCTGTAGAAGCTGCTGAAGTAGTTGCACCACCACTTTCACCAGTGGCACCACCAGTAGCCCCACCAGTTACGCCTGTAGAAGCAGCTGAAGTAGTTGCACCACCACTTCCACCTGTAGCAGTTCTTGCAGTTCCAGTAGTATAGCCATTTTTCTACATACAAAATTTTTCCAAACTGAATTAAGAAGTATTGATAAAAATAAATTTCATTAACAAAGTTGAAGAAGTTAAAGCAAAACTTACAGCAATTGGACATCTTTTCTTGTTATGTCCAAAATTCCTGCACAAAGAGCATTTCATTTTTCTCCCCTTCCTTGTAGCCTTTCCAAACTTCTTCTTACTAGGCTCATCACTATCTTTAGACCTTTTTTTCCTTGGTCTTCCTGGCATAGGAGTGATTTCAGGTGGCTCAATGGATGGCCTTGTGCTCTTGGGCCACATCTTCATGTTTGTCATAGGTTGAATGAACCTACTGTAGGCCTTCAAATATGTTTCCTTCTTGTACCAGTGATCAACAAATGACTCAATATCTAGATCCTTGTAATGCATTGCAGTAATTGCATGTGCACAAGGAATCCCCTTCAGTTGCCATGACCTACAACTGCACACTTTCTTTTTGAGATTAACAACATGTTTATATGGTGGATGCTGAATCTCATAGCCATTATCTCCATTAAATTTAACTTCACATATGGCTGCATGTTCAGCATTGTCAGTAAGAATTTGCATAGCCATAGGTGACACATCAGTTATCCATTTTTCAGAAAACTCCCTCATTTGAGTCATTCTTTCCATGACTTTGACTCTAATTTCCTCTAACATTGTGATGATTGATTTGAATCTAGCTGCCAAGATCCAACTATTAAATGTCTCACACATATTATTCTCAACTATGTCACACTTGCTATGGTCCTTGAATAATGCCCTACACCATGCATTTTTGTTGTACTTTAACAAAGCTTCCACAATACCTACTACCAACAAACTCATTTCATCAAGCTTTGATTGTAAATGAACTTCAAACGGAGCCCTGGCAACCTGCCAAAACTTCTTCCTCCTTTCTTCACCACTCCATACCTTCTTCCAGTTGGCCCATATATGTCTAGCACACCATCTAATCTCAGCATTTGGTAATAAATCAACAAGTGCTAGGTTAAGACCCTATCAAAGAAAAAAGGCATGCCAAGGAAAAACAATAGGAACATAAGTGTAACATAGAAATTGCTATAGCAAAGTAAAACAAATACTACAAAGTGTTCTCATACCTTCTGCATATCAGACATAACTGTCAGTCCTTCACCTTCAGTTTGTGTCAGTTCCAAATCATGTTTGATGCACTTGATAAACCAAGACCATGTGTCCTTGGATTCTTTATTAACTACTGCCCATGCTACAGGGTACATCTGATTATTTCCATCCTTGGAAATGCAAGACAACAGTTCACCTCTACATACACCTTTCAGAAATGCACCATCAAAACCAATTATCCTTCTACACCCCTCCATCCAACCACTTTTTAATGCTCCAAGACAAATATAAATCCCTTGGAATACCTCTTTTCCAGGAATTGTATTCTTGGATGTCCTAACAACCACAGTAGTTCCTGGATTTGTAGACTTCAACTCCTCAGCATAGTCATACAATCTAGCAAATTCCTCTATGAAATCACCCATATGCTCATTCATGACTTTCATTTTTGCTCTTCTACAACTTGTTTTACTAACATATAATCCATAATCCTTTTGTACCAAGCCTTGAATCTGATGGAGTCTGATGCTAGGCTCACTGATGATTCTGTCTTTGTAAGTCTTACAAATCTAGTTTGGAGTACACAACTTGTTTCTTGTTCTTTTGAAACACTTATGGACAGGAAAATATGTCTTCACAATAAAATTTCCAGTATTACCCTCAATACTTCCAAGAATATGCCAAGGACAACCCTTCTTATTACACTTTGCCCTGATTCTCTCCTTTTCATTAGGTTTAAGTTTAATGTTCACACCCTTCTGAATAGAGTAAGTCTGTAGTGCTTCTCTAAACTGAACATTATTCACAAAAACCATATACAACTGAAATACAATTTTTTTGGCAGTTGGGTCAAAATAGACCTTTGTACTTGAATTTCTAGCTGGTGGATCTACAACCTCATCAGAATCAACAGGATCCCCTTCATCCTCACTAATATCACTGCCAGGATCTGAGCTATCAAAATACAGGTCATCCCCACCCAATTTTCCTTCATATCTTCCCCTCTTATTCTTATAAATATCTTCAAAACCAGCATCTATACCTACAGGACCAGAAGGTATCTCATCTACATTTATTCTAGCAGCCTTCTCTTTATTAACTTGTTCTTGAATGTTAGACTTCCTAGCTTCAACAAACTCAGAATCCAAGTCACTTAAGTCATCAATGTTCTCATCAACATCATAAAGTGACTCAGAATCAGATTGTTTAGCATCTACATCTACATCAGATTCATCAGATGTATGAAGGTGGTAGGAAGAAAAGTCATTATCTACATCAGATTCATCATATGTATGAAGGTGGTAGGAAGAAAAGTCATTACCTTGACCTTGAC